AAATAAATTGGTATGTTATGTTAAAAAATATATTGATACAAAGAAACTAATGGGGGTCCCTCATTTATTTATGTCCATGCCTCATCTTTTAAAAATATCTTTTAATTGATAAATTCTCCGAGCTAACATGCCTAATAAATCCTTTGTTGCCCAGAGAAATCAGGCAGTTTGAAATTTGAGTGGGATGTACGGTAAGTAAATTGCAATTTTGGTGAATCTTTGCTGTAGCGGCAGAGTCATCGCCGTCCTGAATGGCATAGTACCTATTGTCTATTAATTTGCTCCCGCAAAAAGAAAATTATACAGAGTACAATTGACGAAATTCTTGCTTCAGTACACACAGTTGCAAACGCTGATTCTCAACGATTTCATTCAGTTGTTACTTCACACCAATCAATTCCCGCAGCTGCACGTCCATACATAATTTATCAAGTCAGCGAAGTAATTTGTTAAGTGAATAAAGGCAAACATTCATCATAGAGCATAGGCCAAGTTTAAAGAAAAATAAAAGTTGTGGTAGAAAAACGATAAGCCGACGGACGACCTTGAAGGTGGCACTCGCAAATGACATGGACGCTGTACTTTTATTCAAGCCGAAACAAACAAAAATTAATCCTCTAATAATGCGGTCTATTCTCAAGCGACAAAATTGATGGTTAATTTTGTTGAAATATTTATTGTAACGTTTAGGAAAAATATATACTATTAATTATCATGATAATTTCAGTTTGAAATTCAACCGTTAGAGGCAGCCTCAAAGATATGAGCGGTTGAGCACCTTAGCCTTGGTGTGGCTGAGATTAAAGATTAACGAAAAAGAAAACAGAATGCTAAATTTCGACGCTCAATTTACTGACACTGATATCAAAAAGTCTCTTGTAATTGAAAATAAATACACATAAACCATGGTAAGTTGATAACGGTAATAATAATGAAACTAAATCGACAGAAAACGCTAATAAACTTACACAAGGAGATATTTACCGTAGTTAATTACCTACGTTAACTCAAACAACTCAAGCGGAGTTTGTGTTTAAAATCAGGGGATTTACAGTTTATAATGTTGAACTAAGATTTTACTCGGACTTTTTGCTTGTGATCGGAATACATGACTTATGAGGATAAAAATAAAGTAATAGTATAAAAATGATGGGATCCTCGAAAAAACCTCGGTTTAAAAAAAATAACTCATTTATACATCGTCGTGTTTTTAATTCTGTTAATGTAATGATACAATGAATCAATTTCGATTTAAATAATCCAAAAATCAAACTAGTAACCATTTAGGGTAGAACATTAAAGTTGAATAAAACAGTCAATGCACGACTACAGATACGAAACACTTATAGAATTCTTTTCCTCTATTAACTCTACCATCACTGCCTACAATAGACGTCCACAGACGTAAACACCGGCAATGCTCTTTAGCAGCCGGGAAGCAATGCGCCATACAACGACCATTTATCACCTCTCACGCTTGACTCCAGTCGCGCACTGAAGAGTGAAGACTAGGCTGAGTAGGCAAGTTCCTCCTACGACGCCAGTTGTTACCCAGTGCATGGAACCCAAGTCAGCGTCTTGGAGACTTAATTTCTCCTCTCATCGATTGTTCGAAAACTAACGTTGTACGTCATCACATCTGAACGATTACAATATCTGCTTCATTTAATTGAATTTAAAAAGAAAACTCAATTTAAAGTACAAGATTCTATGTAAACTTTTATAATCTCAATCAACGACAAAAGGCTTTTGTAGGGCGCATTGTTTTTTTTTTTTTGCGCTACTGATGAAAGTATTAGAGTTCAATTAATCACTTTAATAAGAACCGACTGCCGTATAAAGAGAAAAAATATAACTCGGTACTCACTGCAGTGAGTCACAGAGAGCGCATTTTCTAGTCTACGAAAACTTGAGGTCACGGACAGACGGACGGACAGACGGACAGACAGACAGACGGACGGACGGACATGGCGAGCACAATAGTGCATTTTTTCCATAAATGAGAAAATGCGCTAATAAGCTAAAACTTTGCGCTAAAGCACATCACACCATCGCCATTGAACAAATAGTTGTACCATAAAGCGAGAAATTAAAACTGGGGAAAAACAAGTATGCCATAACGTCAACCACGTGTATGATTGATTCCGATCTCAGTGGCTGCAACCTTCCAAGCATCACCTTATCATACTAATTGGTTACAAGAATAGGCAAGAAGCAAAGAAGCAGCGCTGTCTCCATTGGAACTCAAATGACGAAAATACGACAAAATAAATTAAGTAATTGGCAATTTCATATGGTGTCTATTTAAGCTATTCATGCTTGGTATTTCTTCTTGAAATGAAATTGTTCTCTAGGTCAAGTGAATAAATAAATATTGAGACTTTCTCGCGAACTTTTAATACTATAGATCATTTCTGAAAGATCTGCTTGTGCAGGAATCACTAACAAATAGCTGAAATCATGCCTCCACCAAACAATTAACATTTAGATTTTACACTTAACCTGCCAGTTAACGCCTGGAGAATATTATATATGCGACAACTGACGATCGCAATTAAATTTTTTTAGGGTAAAGTGTCAGAAAGTTCTCATAATTTTGATTTTCTCATCTACGTGTCAAGGAGTCCGGACACAGCGGGCCGCAGCTCCCATGTTGCACCTATCGCTCAACGTTACCTCATCACGTCTAAATTTGCTTAATAATTGTGTAAGGATATGTTTACTATGTTTAAATATGCTCCTCTATCGAGGAAATAAAAATGGAAGGATAGGGGAAGTCTTAGCAAGAATTCTGGACTTATGATATCGTTGGTATCTCTATACGGGTCGGCATGGGAGCTTGTGAAGGTCAGTCAAAGTTCAGTGGTTGGACGAGACGGGATGAATTCACCCGGCATCCCGCGGCTGCTATGCATTATTATGCAAAGGTATGGAGTCGCGCTGTCCTTAGTCCTTACGCACAAACCGTCAACTCCGATGGTTGACAAACGACATCAATTAAATTCAAGACTGTTACTCATTGAATTAATCAATAATCGTAGATGTTGGGAGTTCAACCACGATGTTGGCTACTTACATCAGTTTAAATAATCGATTAGTTTATAGAATTTGTTAAGTATTAAGTCTCAGTACCGATTAGTCGGAGGGTATAGCGAGCAATGAATAATACAGATGGCAACAGCATAAGTTCTTGAACTATCGGATGAATCCTAATTTACTGATCATGGATTCTGAAGTAATTCCTAATAATAGATATTCACTGGTCTTCTTTTCATGTATATACGATGCTTGGAAATTAATAGCGCATCCAACACGCTAATAAAATTTCAAAACTCTCATAAAATTTCATCAAACTATGTACCTAGTTGTTAGCACAGATTATTGCGTCTGACTGTTGGTGGCTCGTACTACACTGAGCCTCTTGGTTAAGAGTTATTTAAAACTTTATCTGTCGTAGTGTGAAATGAGTAAATATCCATACAGCGGCGTTTGGAGACGAATCATGTGGCAATGGGAAATTCTTGAGCCATTGCGGCAAGCAAGCAGACTGTGAGTCTGAAGCATTCCTAAAGAGCACAAAAAAAGTGGCGCCAGAATATCAAGCCGTAAAATCCGTGATATCGCGTCGGAAAGGTTACCATTTCTGGAGACTAACTCAAGTAGGAGAAGTCCTGCAATCGTTTGTAGAAAAAATTAAAAGGCAAAAAAATATGGCAGTTCACTCACTTTCGCAATTGAGCAGCTCGGGCGTGGTTGAGAATTTAATATTTTTACCGAAATAAGGCGATTATGATTGGATGAGTGCTGAATTGTTAATTTAAATTTATTATATCAGGATGAGGTAAACTTACCTAGCCTATGGAATGTCTAAAAGTGAAAATTATCTGTTTTAAAAATTCAGACGCTCCCAAGTGAGGAGCTCTCCAGGATGGTGTTCTAGTATCTAGGATAAGCAAGGTTGTATTAAGCGATAACGCGGGCTCATATTGATATCATGTTCCTATCATTCTCAAATGGCAGTAGATTGAAGCGATAGTCAGTTCCGCTGCAGGACAAGGTAACGGCTGTTGCGCACCGCTGTCACCTTTATCGTTAAACTCTTTACTAAATTAAAATATGAACAACGTAATGTGGTCACGAATATTTTTATTTCGTGGGGAAGATGATTTGTAAACTAACGCTGCCTCATTTACATCCAGCCGAAAATTTGGCACTTGTAATAACAATTTTCTTCATTATCAAAATTATGGATTAGCTTTCATGCTAAATCGTGCATGAATTAAACATGTATTGATTGTACATATTATTAGGGCCTCTCCATCATAAGTCACATCAAAGTCCGGCAGCTATTGTGTGAATCTGTACATGATGAGGTGAGAGGTGATTGCCTTGATCCATCAATGAAGTACGGTATTTTTACTATTTAAGCGAAAAATCTAACCCACGTTAATAGATACTGCACACTACTTCTTTATTTATTTATTTTAGAACATTTAATAAATTAATACTCTCGCAGGATTGATGGTTAGTCGTGGATTAGTGAGTGGGAAGCCTTGAAGCACAGAAAGAAATATTAAAAGAGACCAAATCCGAAATTACAGTACAGTTATAATGGCGTGGCGCTAGTCACTGTTTACCCCTGACATTTACACTCGAGCGCCAGCGCGGCTTTAATTGAAGTCTGGCGTCGCAATCGGTAAAAAATATTCCCCGAATGATAAAGGAATGTCGTAAGGTGGAAAAATTTACAGGCATACTCTACCTTTGAATTTTGAGCAGTGAAATCAATTAGTAAAAAATTATAAAGGCTTATATAATAATGACTAATATTCAAGAACATAGCTAATTAGCAACTATGCATCCTAAAAGATAATGAACTTAAAATTAAGCCGTGAAGTTTACTTAAATTGATAAATTCAGAATTTTGTCAAGACAAAGTTTCTCGAACGTCATGTGAGCAAAATCAAAAACTGCCACACCCCACCAGATACTGGACTTACCGGAAGTTGCATGATGGCGTCCGGAGAAGGGCTATGTAAAGTCATCCGCGGATGCACCACCACGGGAGGCTCTGAGTCGTTCAGAATTTTAACTGCTATGGGACCGCGCACGCGACTCGACTCGAAAGGATCTGCGTGCTCCGGGCTGCGGGTGTCCATGATCGGCACGTGTCCTCCAAGGTGGACTGAATTATTGTTATCAATGGGCAGTTGAAAATGGCCGGCATCTAAGTCAAGAGCTGCGGCCAATTCTTCAGTCGTTGCTGCATCTGTCGTACTCTCTGTGGTAAACGCTGCTGAAGTTGTTGCAACCTTTGAGCTCGTCTCTGGCTTAGGTCGACCTTTCCTTGAATTGTGTGACCTCTTAGTGATTGATGACTGCTTATGATGTCCTCGTGAGCTTCTTCGACTAACAATATTCGAATGTTTTGTAGAAATGTTGAAGATTCGGGATTGAATAGGTGCGATGATAGACTGCAAATTGGTTTCTTCAGTCGAATTTAAGACCGAGGTGATCAAGTGTTCTGAGAACTGAACTCTGGTTGTGTTGGAAAACTGAATAAAATCAGGAATACTGTGAAAAACATTAGGCTGTCCCATCATGGGCGCACCTATAAGGGTCAGGTTATAAGTAGTCGGAGGGAGAGCCATAATATTGGAGACTGGAGCTCAAATTTTAGTCCTTTTCTGCGACTGAGAATAAAATGAAATTCCCAAGTTAATTATTTTCACCGTTCAAAATAATGATAACTATATTGACAACCTCTGTCCTATCACAGCAATGCTTGACATGTTTGCGTCACAATAACAATAAGTAGAATTTGGTTAACTAGTCACACGCACACACGTAGCTGTAATCACAATACAAAAATCAAGGTTTCTAATAAACTAATTACAGAAAATCACTGGTCTGCTGTATAACTGTGTATCAAAACTCCGTGGCTGAAGTGGGCCGGTATCTATCGATCAATATTACGCGGAGGATGACACCACCCACGTCTCACATCCAGTGTCAGCACCGCTGTGCGGGGTGGGAATGACGACAACCTCGACACGTCCTAACTGATCGAGGAGCGAGTTGTAACATTCAGGAACAGCCTGTCCCATGACTTCCTCGGGGTAGAATTGAACCCTTCAGGGCAAGATTTTACAAACTACCGTGCGAATTGCTTTGGTACCTGACAATATCCTGAATGATATCTACCACTTTTTCGTAATTGAGTATCACACGGTGACACGTCATATTTGAACTTGATTTAACACACTCAACTATTAAGAAGTTCACTAATGGAAAAGTGTCAGTAAGTTAACTATTACTACGCAATACATTGCTACGTGATTAATAGAGCGAAGCTGCATAAACCAGCACGCAAAGAGAGATGAAGCTAGTCTGCTCATGCCTCGGGCTGTGTCTCACGAATCGACAGCCACCCCTCCACCCTCGCCCCACATGGGAAGGCCACACTTCGTAAGTTCGTTCCTGGAAGTCTCACTCATTGCCACGGAGGGAGCTGCAGTGCACAAGCACCCTGTGCAGTCGGAAGAGACGTAACTGAACAATTGGTTCGACTATCGGCAGTAAGATGGAGTGAGTTTATAAATTGGTGAAGTTACGGACCGCAAAATAAATTTCGATCATGATTTCTAGATTTGAACGCGATTAATTATTGTTACTTACCAATAGTGCTTGTGAACATTGATATTGCCTAGTTTGATTCTAGCATTCCTGCTTAAGATGATAGAGTATTTGCTTAAAATTTAGTTCTTGTTTACTCAAACTCGTCCGGAATCTGAATATTTGTGCTATCAACTACGGAATTTAAATGAATAATTTCTTAAGTTCGTGGTTCCTTGTTAGAAGGCGACATGAACGATCAAATTAAAATTTCTACTGAATTTGTATAATTATCCAAGCGAATAAACGACGCTTCCAGCTAACTACTAAATTCTGCAATAAATAAATGCAATCAATTACGTCAATTTATTGAGGCCTTTTTTACCTATTTTCGGAGATAAAAATCTACTAGCACACCAAGGAAAATGGAACAAAAATTTTCTTAGTTTCAAACGGTCGCGTAAATTTACACTCGGTAAAGGCAAACGCACGATGAATCATAAATGTAAGATTTAATGCGTGGGCATTGGTTTGTGAAAATATTGTCCAACATATGAATTTAAGCAAAATTAGATAAATCATAACCCAATATAACCTTAGCGCCGAGTCTTCGACTTGTGTTTGCGCTTATTCTTCATCCGGCGTCCTCCATCGTTCGTGGGATTATCATTTATTTTCACAGATGGATCGCTTGCAGCTTCGAAGGTATTAGATGAACTTTTGATCAGGATTCCATCAGAATTATTTCTCTGGGGTTTATTCACGATAGTAGTTTCGCTTTCATTGCCTTCTGAAATTGAATCAACCGATGACATTCCAGTACTGCTCTCTGCTGTATCGTCTGTCGCTACGCTGCCAGCTTCACTATGTCCGAGCTCATTCAGGTTAGCAATTATTCTTGCATTTGATTTACTCATATTTTCATTAAATGCATAATGGCTTTCTAAAGTCTTGGAATGGTGTATATCTTCACGTGCAGCTGCTAAGGAATCAGCATTTGACATTCCTTTAGGTGATTTTGAACGGCTGCGTCTCCCGGCTGTCACACTGTCAGCCTCGGTCACACTGTCTCTCTCGGTCGCCGTACAGTCAGCCTCGTTCTCATTGTGTCTCTCGGGCGCCGCACAGTCAGCCTCGTTCACACTGTGTCTCTCGGGCGCCGCACAGTCAGCCGTTGGTGACGCGCTTCTCTCGGGCGCCGAACAGTCAGCCGGTGGTGACGCGCTTCTCTCGGGCGCCGAACAGTCAGCCGGTGGTGACGCGCTTCTCTCGGGCGCCGAACAGTCAGCCGGTGGTGACGCGCTTCTCTCGGGCGCCGAACAGTCAGCCGGTGGTGACGCGCTTCTCTCGGGCGCCGAACAGTCAGCCGGTGGTGACGCGCTTCTCTCGGGCGCCGAACAGTCAGCCGGTGGTGACGCGCTTCTCTCGGGCGCCGAACAGTCAGCCGGTGGTGACGCGCTTCTCTCGGGCGCCGAACAGTCAGCCGGTGGTGACGCGCTTCTCTCGGGCGCCGAACAGTCAGCCGGTGGTGACGCGCTTCTCTCGGGCGCCGAACAGTCAGCCGGTGGTGACGCGCTTCTCTCGGGCGCCGAACAGTCAGCCGGTGGTGACGCGCTTCTCTCGGGCGCCGAACAGTCAGCCGGTGGTGACGCGCTTCTCTCGGGCGCCGAACAGTCAGCCGGTGGTGACGCGCTTCTCTCGGGCGCCGAACAGTCAGCCGGTGGTGACGCGCTTCTCTCGGGCGCCGAACAGTCAGCCGGTGGTGACGCGCTTCTCTCGGGCGCCGAACAGTCAGCCGGTGGTGACGCGCTTCTCTCGGGCGCCGAACAGTCAGCCGGTGGTGACGCGCTTCTCTCGGGCGCCGAACAGTCAGCCGGTGGTGACGCGCTTCTCTCGGGCGCCGAACAGTCAGCCGGTGGTGACGCGCTTCTCTCGGGCGCCGAACAGTCAGCCGGTGGTGACGCGCTTCTCTCGGGCGCCGAACAGTCAGCCGGTGGTGACGCGCTTCTCTCGGGCGCCGAACAGTCAGCCGGTGGTGACGCGCTTCTCTCGGGCGCCGAACAGTCAGCCGGTGGTGACGCGCTTCTCTCGGGCGCCGAACAGTCAGCCGGTGGTGACGCGCTTCTCTCGGGCGCCGAACAGTCAGCCGGTGGTGACGCGCTTCTCTCGGGCGCCGAACAGTCAGCCGGTGGTGACGCGCTTCTCTCGGGCNCTCGACTGAAGCTGGTGGTGACACGCTTCTCTCAGCTACCTCGACTGAAGCTGGTGGTGACACGCTTCTCTCACCTTCCTTGAATGACGTCGTAGTTGTTACGCCCTTCTCGGATGCATCGAATGAAGCTGGTGGTGACACGCTTCTCTCGAATACTTCTAATGAAGCTTGTGGTGAAACGCTTCTTTCGGTTACCGGTACCTCGAATGGTTCAAGTGGTGACACGCTTCTTGAGGTCACCTCGAAAGAAGTCGGTGGTGACATGCTTCCCACTGATGCCTCTAAGGATGCAGGTGGCGCGACGTTTTTCCAGGAAGACTTCAATGGATCCGGTGCTGACACGTTAATGCCTGAAGGCGGCAAGCTCCTTCCTGCAGCCACATTATCTGACTGCGGTGGTGAGCTTCTGTCTGCAGCCACATTATCTGACTGCGGTGGTGAGCTTCTGTCTGCCGCCACATTATCTGACTGCGCTGGTGAGCTTCTGTCTGCCGCCACATTATCTGACTGCGGTGGTGAGCTTCTGTCTGCCGCCACATTATCTGACTGCGGTGGTGAGCTTCTGTCTGCCGCCACATTATCTGACTGCAGTTGTGAGCTTCTGTCTGCCGCCACATTATCTGACTGCGGTGGTGAGCTTCTGTCTGCCGCCACATTATCTGACTGCAGGGGTGAGCTTCTGTCTGCCGCCACATTATCTGACTGCGGTAGCAAGTAGCTGTCGGGCATCTCATCCGACGAGAGCGGCAAGCTTTTTTCTGGCACCTTGCTATATAACGGCCGTGGCAAATTTTTTTCATTCACCTTGCTATGTAACGTCATTGGCAAGTATTTTTCTGGCACCTCATGAACTAACGACCGTGGCAAGCATTCTCTTGGCACCTCATGATTTGACGGCAGTGGCAAGCATTTTTCAGGCACCTCATGATCTGACGGCAGTGGCAAGCATTTTTCTGGCACCTCATGATCTAACAGCCGCTTCCAGCTTTCTTTTGGCACCTCATTATCTAAAAGATGTGGCAAAATTTTATTTCTCTTTTCCGTAGGGATTTGCTTCTGCATTTGGTCTCTTAACGGTAAAGAGCGAGGAAGGATTTTGGGTGAAAGTTGTATCGTTTCGCAACTTCTTTGAGCAGAGTGATGAGTGAAAAAAGCTTTCCCGGCGCAGTTGATTCTTTTTGAATTGTAGGTATCAATTTCTCGCGAGTCTGTGTGCATAACTTCAAAAGCTTTGCCAAAACTGGGTAATGAGGAATCGTGCATGCGCTTTACAACGTCAGACGCCAAAACTTGCAGAGGCACTGGTTGGGCCCCCGAAGTATTACTCTTACTAGCCTGCTTTCCAGCTTTTCGATCGAAACGACGTTCACAAATCTTCATTTTACTGCTGGGGCTCCTGTGAAGCATTTCAGTTTTATAACGGAAATGTTCAGGGGGCGTAGTGTGCAGACTTTCGAGATGCCAAGCCACCAGCACGCGCAGAAGATAGCAAAATATTATTCCCGTAATAATTAAGAGCGTCTTGTTTATTGAGGCTGACGAGAGAAATGACTGGATATTAAACACGGAAGAAAAATACTGAAATCAGTACGGAGACTGATAATTCAGTACGGAGTTGATAATTGTGGCATATGCAATACTCGACGAAAATTGACGTAATTTACAATCATCTACATTACGTAATACTGTAATACATATTCAAGTTTGTTGGGAAAGTAATCGAGTTTCATTTTTACCTGGTTCCAATTCTGTCTCAGAACGATGTACGTAGTTGTAACATCGTTCATTATCCGTTTTTTCTGAAACTGAAAAGCAGCGGGTTGAATAACGCCAAATTATGGAGATACATTTTAAAAATCAAATATAACTTGTATTATGTATAATTATTCACATGAGTTATAGAACAATTTCCAAAAACGAAACAATGATTAAAAGCGTATAAAACGGTTCTAATTGAACATATATCAGTCGAAGTTTGTGTGACACCATAAACGTGTAGGGGGCAGTTAGGGCGCGTATACACGTTACCTACATACCGTGTCGGGATTGTAGCCGAGAATAAAATATTCAATCTTGAGGAATAATGAGACAAAATGGAGGGAGCTGAATGATTTAGAATATTTGAAAGCGATTTTTATTCGACAAATAAATGTTCAAAATTAAAAAGTTTAGTTTTCCGTTAAATTGCCAAACGTGGGGAACTCTTTGCTGAATGTAGGTTTGAAAGAGTCTCCTGATAAGCTAACTAAAGTTCCTAAATTTACATATTACAAGATGACTGAGTTCAGTATGACGTTGTTCCTTCGAGTTAAAATACCAGGCAAAGCCGGACTTAATCAACCAGCTAATTGTCTATTTACTTACCAATGTTGCGAATCGATTCTTAAATTCCTTTCAAATCATACAAGAATAACAAAAAAATTGGGGGAAATACATCTAGGTTCGAATCTCACCGTCGATGTAGTCGTCGATCACCGTACACCTTGGTAGAGAATCACGAAGGTGATCTAAACTATGAGATCTTGTGAAACTTCCAAGAACCTGAAGCGAATCTCTAACAGATTTTCCAAAGTTCTTCGATCCGGGATCAAATATCCAGCCACGTTGACGATGATTTGAAAGAAATTTATCGACCGCTTGTCCCAGGTGTAACAATGAAGCTTGAAACTGCAGAGGTAGATTGTGAAGTAATTGTTGTTTTGTCATCGCGAATTTCGAAAAATCCCCGTTCATGGAGTAGTCGTTTGCTATTGCATCCTCCATGAACGATTTCTGGTAGTCGTGGAAGTCTGCAGCAGAGAGAACGCATTGCTGGCGATGACAGCTAGTATATATACAAAAAAGGATTGGCTTTGGATTGGAATTAAGTCAAATATCATAAATGGTTATCCTAGGTCTGGGTCTACGTAATGGTACAATTAGATGCGATTACATGGTATTTTCTTCGTTAAAATACTTGAATTCAATTTTTCTGTATCAATATAAATGGGTCACTGGCGTATCAGGAACAAAGTATAAATATTTTTATTTACCACACACCTGCGCCAGATGCCAGTACGATTTGTAGACTCAAAAGACACATCAAGCGCTCACTAATATTCATGATGAACACAAAAGCCTGATGAATAAACCGTTGGTTTTGTGCTTATGGTTGTGGTCTCGACACGATCGGGAAATTTGAAGATGAGCTCCCTGGGGCAGATTTTTGCTAAGTATGTTTGTGTATTGCTAACAGCTCTAAAAGCTGATCTTTTGACCGATCTATCGATGCTGACGCTATCACAAATAAATTAAAGGGATTTTAATTAAAACCATATAATATTTTGCCATTTTCGTGCAAGGAACGAAGGAGATTAATGTATAATGTAGCCTGTTCAGGTATAGAAGCGGGCTCACAAAGACCGACATGATTGCAAATTGTTTCATGTCATCAATGCGGCTCAGCCTATCACGAGCGGATCCGCCCTCAATAGGTGACTGCGGTCTTGGGGCTCGGTACTTTCAAGCAGCAATATATCTGCTTAGCCTATTAGGTTTTTTAGATTTGGGGCATAAGGTCAAGAAATTACTGTCCTACTTTCTTCCAAACTACTGTCCATCTTATTAGAGACTTGCAGGAGTTTACGAGGTTTTCAACATATTCAAGAAAGAAAGAGGATACAGTCGCCAAGTTCGCCACCATTGTGGTTATCAGGTAGACTTTGAATTCTATGGAACCACCATTATATAGTGTTAGAGATGAGACATCTGAAATGCATTGCGCAACTGGGTCACCGTGTAGGGTAGTGTATGGTCATAGCCTCGATTTATATTCTATGGAGTTCTTCCTAAAAAAGGAGTTTCTTTCTTGGACACAGCACACTAAAGCGTTAATAATCCCAAAGGCCGACCAAATAAATTAGTCGCCGAAAAATAAGAACTCGAAAAATGGTGTCACAACATTTTCCTTTTCAATCGGCAAAATGGTCTATGAATGCGCCATCACGTGTGGTTCAGCTCCGGAAATACCCTTATTCTTTCGGTGTTTGCTTAAAGTAATTGGTAAATCGGCGCGATATTTGAGAACGCGTCTTCGATCGAGTTAGAATAGAATAGAATAGAAGTGTCGGCGTTGAAGAAATAGGCCCATGGCCTGTTGCCGATTCTTGAACTTTTCGTGACTTGATTCACAAGGGATCCGGCCTTTGGAACCCGATCTTTCTATAGCTGACGATTGATTGAGATAGCTGCTGGACTTATTGCCTGATCCGTAATTTGCACGGCATTTTAAGACTGAACATATGCTCCTGCATAGCTTCGTCTAGTCTGTTTTTGAAGATGTTCACACTCGGAGCTTCAACGATGCTATCAGGGAAGCTGTTCCACATGTCGGTGACTCGAAGCGAGAAGAAATGTTGTCGCATGGATGTGTTCCAACGCTGTTTTTTTAGTTTATAGCCGTGGCCCCTGGTGTTGGTTCTTGTTTCAAATTCTAGTAATCCTTCTGGGACCTTGTATAAGCCATGAGTATACTTGTATACTTCAATGAGGTCCCCACGCAGACGTCGATTTAACGATTTAACATTTTTATCTGGATTGTGATTTCAATTACGTTATTTACTATATTTATTTAGATTACGTTAAGTTACCATATTCTACAAAACTTGAATGCCATATAGGATTCCTTCTAGTCAGAATATTGTATAGGCACCATATATAGCTAGTTAAATTTCCGTACTAATTGATTTATCTAACCATCCTGCAGCCAAAATGGGGTAAAATGTAACAATGTAACTTCATTTTGATTAGCCGTGTAATTTGTAAGGTTTTGTGTAGAGAAGGATTTCAAATTAAATAATTCTCATTACAACACTTCTCTTTAACTTCACTTCTTGTTTGTCTGTCTGCTACAAATCTTGTAATCAAAATTTAATACACTTCTACTTATCCAATCGATCTGAAATTTTGCCCACTTGTGTAAAGTTGGAGACAATGCATGAATCAAATGTCAAAATAAATGATATTAGGAATGAAATTTTTTTTTTCAATATTAAAAAAATTGAAAAATAATTGTGTCAGCTACAAATCTTATACCTGATATTTGATAGACTTTTACCTGTCTAATTGATCTGAAAATTTGCATACTGGTGTGAAATCAGAGGCAATGCACGAATCAATTAACAGAATAAATAATTTTGAAAAAAAATTTTATATTAAAAAAATTTAGATATATTTAAAAAATTGAAAAGGTAATTTTTTTAATTTTTGAAAATTAGATGAGAAATTCATTCTACATCTGTAAGATTGGAGACACTGGATTCTTTGGAAGTGTTGTCTTTAAAAAGTAATTTTTAAACGTATATTATTTTAATGTAAAATTGAAACAAGAATTTTGCTGCCATCCTACGGGCGCACGCATTCGACCTCATCAAGTCATGTCATGTCATATGTTACTGTTATTTCCCACATTTTTCATATTATCACGATCACCGCTGCAGTTTCAAGTTGGTCTGTCAAATAATACAAATATGAATAATGGTATATAATACAAATATAATGTATCGAATAATATTTCCATATATATTATAATTAATCGATAATTTAATTTATAATTCACGGCAAAGTGGCGTAATGTCAACCCTAAATGTTTAGTGCTCAGAACATAGTTTATATTTCTAGGTAACTAACTGCGTGTACACTTAGACTTAGAGGAATGAGTGAGACTTGTCCAAAAAGCGATGCACTTTCTGCCCTTGTGTGGGTCATCCTGACGTAGTTTGGATGACCCGATAATGTGCCGTTCGGTGCTACGTTTGCTCTCTGCTCGAGCAGTTGGTAACAAAGTGTGTCATTATTTGGACAATGTGTCACATTCATTTTTATGAGTATTATTTGTTTGATACTATTAGAACAATGTACATGTATGCCACCGGTCGGACAAAAGCGCGTGAGCGTTAGCGTGGGTTAACAGCGTGGGCCAGCCCGGCCCTGAACCGGCCTTATACCTGCTCTCCCTTTAGCCACGTTTCATTACCTGAATTCGTAATCAATAATTATGGAATTAAATATATGGTTTCACATGCTCATTGCTTTGCCCGAGCGGTATGTATGCCTCGTAATTTATATGAGCGTATAAGACTAGATCGTTCTGCGTGCTAACCCCACGTTGTTGATGACTTCGTGTTCGGATGGTTCTGCCATTTGCCAGGAACGAATATTCATTGCGGCGATTAAACACACGGAAATAACGGCCAGAAGGATTAAGAACAGGATCAAACCGGCAAATAAAAATGAAATAAAGCTATCGTACCCTGAATCAGGATAACATGCTCCTTTTAGTTTAAGTCTTATCTGTGGGCGTCATGTTTTGATGAGAAATGTAAATTTTATGGTATAATTTATGTATTGCTTGACATTACAAATTAGAACTACTTTCCCGCTTTTTTTAAAAGTAAGGTCTCTAGCCGACATGCGGCAGTAAGATGCTGTTGTCGAAAGTAGCCAACATTCTACTGCGTTGATGTGTGGCCTAGTGACGTCTTCCAACGATGCTGATGCGATATATAAACCCTCGCGACACGTGTTGATCCGTGACCGTACTCTAAGTCTTTTGAGCCTTATTTCTGCTGTTTAACCGCTACAAGCGCAATCATGGTGGGTTATGTCAAGAACAGCTGGTCATTATGTGATCGACTTTCACCAGCAAAACTGGCTTTAGATTCGCCAAGCACCTAGTACCTCGCTGCCACAACTGTCTCCTCTTCAAACCGCTAGGAGCGTGGGCTGTAGCCCACGTCGGCAAATTTTTAACAACCTCTTCCATAATCGGGGTTGCAATGTATCTTAAAATAAGGCTAGTTGGCTACCGGGTTTTCATTTTTAATTATCACATTATCTGCGTCTTCTTATAGCTTAAGAGATCTTAGTATATGAAATGTTTTTTTTTATTATTATATAAACTTCGGAAACGTGGAACTCTCATTGCCTTGTCCACGCTTCCTGAGTTCCACCATGACTGTTCCACGCCGATCGCGCAGCAATATTCATGATCTTAATTTGACTTAGGGTTACGAAAAAAGGTAACGATATAATAATGCACTAGTCTACGTTATCGACGTCAGGGTGATGCTGAGTTTCCGACAAATATTGAGCATCCAACAAGAAAATGCTGTAGGTTTTGTTCTCACACAGCAAAAAGCAGGCAATTGGCGCGATGTCCCGTCAAGAGCCAGTTCCACAGTCAAGTGACTGTTGCTTTGACTTTGGATAAAGAGCAATAAGCAAGCTAATATTTTTATGCAGTGGACTCTGTTTCCTCAAGACATACTTAGTCTATGTATTGTCAGAAATTGTGCGACTCATACCCAACCATTGCAGCCAGAGCTGCTCCGTGATGGTTCCCCGCAACTAAAACAATCACTGAACCAAATGATCAATTTGATTGATCATTTTCGATTAATCCATCCATCAATGGAGGCATGTGTTAATCGAATCGACACTTCAGCGAACTCGCCTGCGAGCTCGAAACTCGGTCATGTGTTACACTCACTCACTTACAGCATGTGCCGATTCACAATTTGTGTTATTACCGATCCGAGCGAGTCTTGCTGCAAACACATAGAATAGAATAGAAGTGTCGGCGTTGAAGACATAGGCCCATGGCCTGTTGCCGATTCTTGAACTTTTCGTGACTTGATTCACAAGGGATCCGGCCTTTGGAACCCGATCTTTCCATAACTGACGATTGATTGAGATAGCTGCTGGACTTATTGCCTGCTCCGTAATTTGCTAGGCATTTTAAGACTGAACATATGCTCCTGCATAGCTTCGTCTAGTCTGTTTTTGAAGATGTTCATACTCGGAGCTTCAACGATGCTATCAGGGAGGCTGTTCCACATGTCGGTGACTCGAAGCGAGAAGAAATGTTGTCGCATGGATGAGAATAGAATAGAAGTGTCGGCGTTGAAGGATAGCATTAGCTAACCTAATTTAGAAGGCGACAACGAAATTAACGACACAATATTCTAAATTGTTATTAAAGCCAGCGATCTGTGAGTGCTACAATTCACGCAACCATGAATTCACGAGGCAATATCCCTGTTGTAATATTAAAGTTAGCATGTCTTCCGTACGAGCGATGCTCCGGACGACAACCGTATTTCTTAGTTCTTAGTAAGCCAATCGTGGATACGCTCTAGTTAGTATTGCTATGTAGGTATTTTGAGTCGTTTGACACTTGGAGTTAAGAGAGCGACGTACGCAAGCTCGTGGCAGTCGCGTTTGTGCTGCACTGCTGATGCGCGTCAAGTTTGTGCTGTATCACAAAACACCGTCAAATCATTGAGAGGAACAGGAAATTCACTCATTTGAGTAGGTAAGCCATCTCATGGGCTCTGAGGAAGAGGTTAGGTGCGTAGTAAATTGGTTTCGCCTATGGACTCCAGTCCAAAGAGATAGGTTTCTTACTTTATTGTCAGCAAAGTTGAATCCTCAAAATCCTGACGCTCTGTTATTGGTAAGTTGTTTCTTGTTTGTGTTCGAACTTTGAAGTGACTATTGTACCATAGTAATTTCTGAGTTATATAGTATAATAGTCTATCATGAATCATTTATGGTGGAAATTTCAAACTTTGTGATCAATTAGGGGGCCTAGTTCTGGGTTGTTTTAACCGTTTAGTGGCGTTTACCTAACCATTGTTGTCGATTGTGTGGCAAATATCTGTTCCATAAAGATAAACTGTACTTGATATACTGTCATTACAGATTAGGCTAGGTACCTACTGTGACCTGTGTAGCCTATTGTGTAACTGTAAAATAAAGCAAGACATGTCGTGTTGTGACTGGAAAAAAATGCAGAGTAGGTAGGCTTAAATCCCTATTAAACAATAAAAATGCAAATTTCTCAATGAAACCTTTCTGCTGAATTGTGAAATATTAATATCAATTCAACCTGGAATATCTTGCAGAATTTTTAAAAAATTACAACTTGAATGGAAAAAGATCAGTATAGCCTATGGCTTGGCCCGTAATGGACGAATAAATTACAGAATAATTGTAAATGGCCCCATCATCCCATGGGTGATTTTTATTAAATATGGCCAAAAATATGCAATTGAAATATCATTGAATGGGTGCTTTCATTTCAAATACCTATAGGATTACACTTTACAGCCTCAGGTACCTACCTAGGAGCAGGAGGTAGCTTTTGGAATTGGCAAATTTTTCTTTTTGGTTGACAGATAGGGAATTGGTATTGGGTATGGTATATATAGTTTATTTAAAATTTTAGATGAATTTTTAAGATCTAAAGTTGGTAGTAAGAGTTGAGTCATGACTTAGAAAGAAGATTGGTATTTTTCTCACCTGTGCTACCTATCATGTCCTATGCACATGATCGCATCATAGTGACAAACCACAGTTTTTTTAGAATAAATTTATTTTTAATTTCCTCATTTATGCAAGATTTAAACCAATTTCTTATGTATGATAATGCTGGTATAATGGTATCCATGATACTTTACTGGTCTACTTATAGGACTCAAAAATGAACTTAAGGGAGACTCTAAAATACCTGCTTTGCCACTTTGATGCGCCTGTATTACATTTGATAAAAGTATTCTAAAGTCTAAGCAGACCTCTGTTTAATAATCAACTACTTTTATATTGACTCATTGAGCAACTTAGTAAGAGACCAGGCTGAACTGCTAATGAATATATAAATCACCGTCCTAAGCCCTCAGGCAATAAAAGACAGGCATCAGGCATTAAGCCTTGAGTTCTTCCCTGATCAGTTAACTGTAAATATGTGTTTTGGATAATTTATTGTGTATTACTGCCACTGTGTCACAGGCATCATTATTGTAGGCATGGAATCAGGATTCAGGAATGTATCTAGTTTCAGTCTCAGCTGTTACAGAGCTCTCCTCAGTCTCCTGCCATATTTGGAGCCACAAGATTCCTTCCAAATTAATTATCTTCTTTACAATTGTTAAAAATTTACAACTGTACTTCATCAAGCTGCAAGATTACAAAATTATGAAAATAGATAATTTTAGATATGCAGAATTTCTGTAATTAGTAGAAATTTTTTAATATTATGTATTTCTGTAATTTTCTAAATATCTCTGAAAGTTTTTTTTCATAAATTCTACCAAGACTCACTATATGAAGAATTGCTAGTCAGCTGGAATTTTTCAATTAAGATATTGGCATCTATTCAAATTTCAAGCTTCCCATCAAGACATCTTGATATTAAATTAGTAGGCATAGTGGTCCGGGACTCTGGTGGTCCCCAAAAAAAATTGATTGATCAATTAACATTGTATAGATTGGTATTTTCCACCCATTTTGATCAGTATATATAGATATAAAATTAATGAAATCAGAGTTTCATTATTCTGCCATAGCTCATATTTCAAAAGAATATTTCTATGGGCCTTTGCATTGCAAGTCACTGTGGAGATTTGATTTATTGCAGGACAGAGGAAATTGTAAAAGTTGTACTTTGTAACTAGAATTAGAAATTGACTTAGAAGACTCTCAAAGACATTATGTGCAGAACCAGGTCATTTCTGGTATATGTCTGATTTGTATTTATCTTGAAATTTATAAAAAAAGTTTTCAGAATAAAAGTTATGGATTCCATTCAATAAGGCTTAACTGAAACTGAACATTCCTTATTAGTTTTATTAAATCATTCCTGACATGCACATTCATTTATTTTTTAATTATATATTTTACTAATTTTAGACATTATTTGGCTGAAAGATGCTTACAAATTAAGACTCATCAATTGTGCATGGTAGTATGCATTTTCAAAGGTAGTGGTAAACAGTGAATGAGTTATTTTACAAAATTTGAATATTTTTATTTAAAATTAATTTACTTGTGCATTTATAAATTTGATATCAATATATGAATCTTGCTATAAAATCCTAAACATTTTATTTTGCAACAGGCAAATAAATATTTCATGATGTTCCTCTGGTTAAACTTGGCCCTTAATTCAAAATTTTGTCTCTAATGTGCTACGTATATGTTCCTGATAAAAAGCTTTTCATACTCACACTTCTCTTGCTGGAACTTCATAATAAGTTAACAAAACATGCATACTGCAGCTCAAACCATGATATCTATCATATTCTTCTAGCTTTCAAATTCACATATCTTTAACAAATATGTACTTTGCATATGTTTTTTCATTAGTTTAATTCATGCTTTTTCTTGCAGGAGTTGACCCAGCAGATGACTTTACATGGTCTCTCACTGTCTGTGTTTGAGTGTCAACTCAATTTATTTTCACGTTATTATGACAACTGGTGTGCTGCTGAAAGGAATTTACTGATCTTCAATCTTGGACAATTAGATAGCTCATTTGTGGCAAATTTACAGGCTCTGGCAAACACCCACTACTAAATTCTATTCCATGTAAGTCACCTATAGAGGCCTCTAAACAACCTAATTTTCAGTTTTTTTTCCCAAATTTTGGAAAAATTGCCTTGGCTTGAAATTTATACTAAACTTTAATGCTTCTACTATTGTTAATGCTCAAAAATTGACAGGCATGTATTGCTAGTTGTTTTTAACTAGGAAGCTAAATCATGCTAAATTTAAAAAAACATGTTAAATTAACATTTTATATTAAACAAAAGATAAAATTAATATCAAACCTAAAGTTTAGGTAGGGCTAACATAAGATAGTTACAAAAATATGTGTAAAGTTTATTTCCCTAGCAACAATGACAAAAATTGCTAAAACTGTGCCCAGGAATGGGGGCAAAATTGCAAAACTCTCCAAATAAATTTTGATCTGGAGATATCTGGGGGTCACTTTTTTTATTTCATGTCATGATTGGACCTGACTGACTGTAGAGCAAGTTATGGGACCTAGTGATGAAATTAAAAATGTTAATGGATGGGTTCCTTTGGCAACTTGAATTGGCATGAGTTGTTTTTAACATCTTGCACATGTATTATGTTTATGTCACATTTATTCAAACAACAAAAAATTGGTTGAATTAATATTCAATCAATTCATTTTATTTCACAATGTTGTCATAGTAGTAAACTCTACTGTGAAAGAGCAATAAATTAGCTGGAAAGTTATTGACTGTTAGGAAATGCTTCACTTTTACAACACTTCTCTTTAACTTCACTTCTTGTTGTTTGTTTGTCTGCAATAAATCTTATATCTTATCTTATATTTAACACTCTTCTACCTTTCCAATTGATCAGAAATTTTGTAAACTTGCTTAAAGTTTGAGACAACGCATGAATCAATTGAGGGAATAAATAATTTTAAAAATTAAATTATTTTTTAATATTGAAATAAAATTAAAAAAATAATTTTGTCTGCTACAAATCTTTTAATTTATATTTAAAACACTTCTACCTGTCCAATTGATCTGAAATTTTGCGCGCTTGCGTAAAGTTGGAGACAATGCTCCACTCAATTGACAGAATAAATAACTTTGAAATTTTAAATTGTTATTAAATATTAAAAAAGATTAAAATTAATTTTTTTAATAATTGAAAATAAAATTAGAAATTCATTGTACATGTGTAACATCAGAGACACTGATTCTTTTGAAGTGTTGACTTTAAAAGTAATTTTTAAATGCATATTATATATATCTTTGTTTCAATTGTGTAAAACATGTCACATTTATATATATTAACTATTATACATAGTAAATTTTCATCTTCTCATAAAGTAAATTGAAAATTCATGAAAGTATATTGAATTATTCATAGACAATCATGGCTGTCAATACCATAAATTTTTATATAGATTTTAAATATAAAATGCAGCTATGCTTAGGTTATGGGTTCATCAATACAGATTATGATGATAGGAATTTTTAAATTTTGGGAATTCTTACTTCCTTGACTTCTAATCAATCCTCTACTTTATTACTCTGTATAGTTATTGAATTAGTTGAATGCTGTATACATAGGTATGTACATTTACAGCTTATTTATTTATTGTGTCTATTTACATGTTCTTGCTTGCAGTGCTCAACTAAATAATTTTTTCTGCAAACTAGAAGATCTTGATAATAATGCCTCAGCACCACACTACGGGTGATCAGGTCAGTGAATACTTCCATTCCTCATTAACTTTGACCATTTTAATTTAATATGTTACCTACTCCAACTTGGAAGCCTTCTTGATGTTCTAGTTGGGAGCCATAATCCTAAAACTTTGACTTTTATGCAAGGCACAAATGCTATGTATATTTACCATTCAAATTAACAAGTAAATTTTCATGTTTTTTAGACATTTGGCTCTATGGTCTGGTTTTATTATTAATTTACTGTGTCATTAGCATTTTTATGATTGAAATATAGTACCGGTAATTTATTTTCTGTCAAGTATTATATAATTTTTTAATAATTTAATTTATTATTCAATTTTTGTCCCATTTCTATAGAAATAAAATTTTCCCCACTTGTTTCTTATCAACTAAAAATTTTATAGGTCCAGTTTGTGGGCGAGTGGTTCAGCAGTTGGTCAGAGCTGCAGAGGAGTGACTTCCTGACCTCACTGCTGCAGGAGCTTCGGCCCTCACATCACATCAATGGCGGCCTCCCTGAGCGCCTTGGCCACCTTGCTATTGCTGCTCCTGCCTCAGCATCATCATCAAGACCTCCTTCCATTTTCAACTGTCAGGTTAGTTAATCTTTATGCTTGAGGTTCAAATATTTTAGTCTTGTGTGCACTGTATCTATTTGGGATTATGAATGGATTGTTGAGCTTGTGTACATCCAAAAACACATGTTGTTGGCACGAATGTTTGAAAATGTATCAAAACTTGAGGGTGAATTCATTCATATCTATTCAAGAATAGGGTTCCACCATACAAATAGTTTTTAAGGAATTAATTGTTTTACTTAACTTGTACTATTTTCTTTAAATTGATGTTTGAGGTTAAGAGGCATGACAGAAGAAAAGGATCTAGGAACATTGCTTAATTTTTTTGCCATTTGTCTAAAGTCGTTGTATTTTTCTGATGTACCGTATGTTTTCTTGCATTTTTTATTGTCAGTTGTTTGATGACCTGATATTCATTCCAATACCCAAAATATTTCGTATCTGTACAGTTTCATGGACAAATTTGGGAAGACCTTGGAATTCTGCTCCTTGTATTAAGATTATTTCTTGTAGCACTTGAGTATTGAGTTGGTAGCTTTTCCTAATTTGTTATTGAATATCATAAATATTGTTGCTAATTAAACGGGTGAGAGAAAATATCTCACTTTGTGCTTGTATTATGTGCTTTATGTATTGCACAGGTAAAGCTTTTCCACGATTGGGTCGGCGGATGGAGCGCCGAGGAACGCGCTAAGCTTCTGACATCACTGAGGGAAACGGATTCTTCATTTGGGCAATCACTTGATGCTGCTTTGGCTGCCCTAGACGGCGACGCTCCAGCGGCTCCTCGAGAAGATCCCGAAGGCGTGGAGGTTCCTCAACCAGTTCCTGATCCTATACCTGAAGGAGATTTGGTTAATGCTGCACCGCCAGCTGAAGCTCCCGTTCCTGCAGCTCGTGCCTTGGTTGGTCATGCTGCAGGCGCCGACAGTGATGTAGACGAAGCCCTTGATTCTTCTCCTCCATCCACATTGAGCTCTCCTAATCCTGGCGATGGTCGTGCGGATTCTGGACTTGATTCTCCGGCAGAACCAGAAGGTGAAGACGAGGGCGGCCATGTTGTCATCGTGGACGAGCAAGAGGTTGCTCTCGCTGCCGTTGGACATGAGAATATTGAGCGTGTTGGTGACGAGGGAGATGGTATTCCAAACTGAATTTTTTGGGCAGTGAGACGATGCTTCTAGGACGACAGATATCTTTTGGGAATTAATAGTTGGCTTAATATTATCGAGTTCTGGTGCATTTTGTATTGCTGGTGCTTATTATCAAAGTGCATTAGGGTGAAATGTGCACTTGGCGGAGGCCCATTGCTCCTAAGTGAAGTCTAAGGCTGTGCTCAACATTCCTTATAACTTATTATTGTCATTCATTTAAAAATGGAATTTAATTGAATCCACTTTTCATTGTGAGCTGGTTGTCTGTTGTCATTTTCCAAGGGTTTCAAACTTAGCTGTCGGTCTACTTATCCGCTCATAACAGTTAACATTGGTTCCAGATTTATTTCTATACCCCAATGTCATTATTCACTTCTCGTGTGCACTCCAAAATCCATGTTTTTGCAGGGTTTTACTCCAGATTTCGTAAAATTTCTTCCTAGGAACTATTATACAAGTATAATTGTATAATGCTATATGTATATTAATATATTTGAAACATTTTTAAAATTATAATTGTTGCTTTTCAAACAATTTTTTGAATTATTCGATTTTGCTTTAATTTGAAAAGTCAAGCTTTCAACATGAAAAGTCCCTTTAAAATGACATTGTTGTTTGAGATTTCTTTGAAAGTATTATGAGTGACTGAGTAAATTATTGTTGGGGTGCTGAATGCTGATATATTCTAGCAGGTAATTTTTCTTTCAAACCTTCCAGGTAAATTAGCAAATTGTTCAATGTTATGGTTTGAAGTAGTCTTGATTTCCTATCACACTGTGAGAGATGAACTATTCTATAAGTTTCAAATGTGCTCTTTATAGTAAATCAATATTGCGTTCTAAATATTTTTGCTTTAATTCAAACTTTGGTATTCTTTTTTCATACATCAATCTGAATGTTGAATGCACGAATCAAATATATCTTTTTTTCTGCTGTGTCCTTCAATGTTTAATTTTTTATTAACGTATGCGGGTAGAACTTTCAGGATTGCTTTCTGTAAGCTTCTATTTTCAATATAGAGTTGTGCGTGTTTCTCTGGATCCGATTTAGTTAATTGTACGCTAAATTTGTGGATTTTCTCTTAATGGGAATTATTTTGTGCTCGTTTGAAGTTTAGCTATGATCCAGGATCATGCAATTTCTGAGCAAATGCAGATTACTAGGTAAAGATTAATTGCATAAGGTACATATGTATATATCACTTCATTTCCAATGCTTAAAATTGAAATTTGGAAATGACATAAGTACGTACTACAAAGGATATCATAGATACAGTTAAAAATTGAAACATTAATTTGCATGAGGACAATTTCAACGTCCTGACAAATCCGGTGGTTTGCTAATTGATAGCAGGAGGCTCGTCCTTGATGATGAGAGCCTCCGCTATCAACAGTCTCGTAGCGTCGGGGAACCGCATGACGATGCTGGTGCAGGCCTTTAACGTGGCGTGGGTGATGGTCTCGTTGTGGGCCTCCCGCATATGATTCTTTGGTCCTCCAGCTTGCAGATGGCATGTTAGTCTGCAGCTCAAGGTCGTGCTGGTCAAACCGATGCAATTAAGATTTTAGAGAAGTTTACAACCTTCTTTCAAGCAGGAAAATTTTTTAAATGATATAGGTTTCTTTATATAGATTTCAAGATTGATTGGCAATATTGAGTATAAAATGAGTATTAACTGTATAAAAAATAAACTGTATAAAAAATTTGTGAAATGAATTTCTCGAACTGATGCAAAATAAACACGTGTGATAAAGATCTTCTATTAAGGTAGACCTGTTACCTATTGCTTCTGGCTGGACTGTATTAGTTGTCTTATGCTTTGTCGTGTCTTTTAATTTTGATGATGTCTAGTTTTAGCTGTGGTAAGGTTGAACGTGCTGATTGTGAATTGTTTTTAGTACCACAATCATATATTTTCCGGTATGAACATTAGGTTAAATCTTGTATATACTTCAGCAAACATGTGATCTGTGTTCACAATAAGTAGTCCTAGTAATAATAGCTCTTCTGCAATCTACTTCTACAAGTAGAATGTAAAACTCTCGCAGTAGATTCATTTCTCGCAACGTTATTCTTTAGATAAGCCTCTTCCTTGTTTTCCATAGTCTCTTCAATTGAGACATTTTCTGTGGGTATTGTTTGAGGTTGCACTTTTGATGAAATTCTGCATGGTGCGAGCAGACCTGCTTGCGCTCAGAAAATGTTCTTGTTTACCTTACAGCATTGTCTTGGTGTTGTGGTGGTGATCCTCGGAGTGAAGAACATCTCATTTAATTCCTCATGTGGAATTCAATTTAATTGTGTCTCATTATGATAGTGTTGGTGCAGTCCAGATCATGCGTACCAGGACCCGAAAACTTAAATTTTAAGTGTGGTTATATTTTATTACGCTCCTAAAGTTGAATAGTGCTTAAAATAATTGCTACCTCTGCGGGACTCGCTAGTACTGTTCTTGCCAGCTTAGGTTTTCTTAGTAGTATAACATTAGTTGCAGTGATATGATTAGTATTATCATAATTTTTTATTTGAGATGTATTTTGAGAAAGATTTCCTCAATTTTTCTTTAATACTAATGACTTGGGTGGTCTTGTATGGACTTCAACGCTCATTACATTTTAATATGTTCTTTGTGTGTAAAGAATGATTGTAAATCCAGGATTTCAATTCCTGAAAAAAAACATTTAGTGAATAGGATTTTCTGTTCGAGTTGCACTTAGGAAGACGTGCTGGTAGCTGAATTATTTTCAATGATTCCACTATATCTTGAGTCTTTTTTTCTGTATTGGTGTTCAACCTAGGTGATTTTAACTCCAATTGGACATTCTCCCCTCCCTAATGCTACTTACGTTTTAGCGCATTTTCTCATTTATGGAAAAAAGGCGCTAGTGTGCTCGTCATGTCCGTCCGTGACCACGTTTTCGTCGATGAGAAAATGCGCTCTCTGTCACTCACTGCAGTGAGTACTGAGTTATATTTTTTAATGTTGTTCACGCTGTATGAGTTACGTTAATTTGTATTGATGAAAATTAATACATTGAAATGTATTTATTAATTGATACATTTTTCGTGCCTTCAGCTACGGTTTACTTACTGTACTGCTGCTCATCTATTCATATTGTAGAAGCTCCCATCTAGTCTTGTATCTTGACCTTTTTCAGTACGACTGAGATTTTCTAGCAATCTCTCTTAGGTTTACGTTAGAATGATCAGATTTGTTTGTTTGTTATAAATCTTGACTGTAATATCATTTACAAATATGATGTATCATTGATCATATTTATTTCCAATGCTCATCGGTTTCTAATCGCGGATTTAGTTGTCAAGTTAGCCCCTCAGGGGGGGGGGGGGCGGACTTCTGACGCGTGTCTGTGCTCGTCAGAAGTCCTATGGGATTTCACTCTCCTAGAGGGATTGTTCCTGAGAGCCCTACCGCTGAGCTCGCGGTGTCTGACTGCGGCTCTCAGTTGTGGGGTTAGATTATTATGTAGGTAGGATTCCTCCTTATATTAAGTTATTATGTAGGTAGGATTCCTCCTTACATTAAGTTATAATGTAGGTAAGATTCCTTACATTTCCCTTCTCTGTCTCTCTCGTGCGTGCGGCCAACATCCCGTGTAAGCGACCTCTTGTTCGAGTGTCTTCGTTTCTGTTGCTTTTCACCTGTCCCTCCTTGTAATTTCGTCTCTTAGAGATGCTAACGCTGCTTCTTTCGAGCCAGCTTCAGCGGGCTGGAAAATTGAGACCTTTGGCCTCTTGTGGGTGATGATGTCTTTGACTTGACAACTTGAGATTTTGAATAATTGAGCCCTTCCGCCTCACTGGCGATGTTATATTTTGGTCTTCGGTGCGAAATAGGTTGATAGCTGAAGCGCTAGCAAACCATTATACTACTACTTCTACTACTCTACTACTACTACTACTACTACTACCACAACTGCTACTTGTCAAGTTTGCTGTATGTATTTATGGTTGTATTTGTCTGACGCACTTTAGGCCACATAATTTCGTGTTGGCTTATTAATGTCCGAAGGTTTTTATGCCAAACCGCTGTGAAAACCGTATCTTGTCTGTTGAAATGTGTTGTCTGTCATATCTTCTCGCGTGAAAACCATATCTTGTCTGTTGAAAATTTTCTAGTATTCCTGTGATCTTACGTTGACAGGAGTAACGCAAGTCCTGTTCATGCTTGTGTGATTTGTATGTTGAAATAAAACATATGAACTGTTGAACATGGAGGAATCATATAATTTTCCTCCTTTGATGAAGAATGAAGGTGAACTATTGTACTCAAAAAATAAATTTGGATTTTTAGATTTTATCCGTTCCGTGCTTATATTACCACAGCTGCTTTTTTATTCGTGGAAATGAGTGGGCTTTCTTCATTCAATTGTTGTGAAGTGTATGAGAGTGTTCGACCTTATCTGAAAACTATGTTCTGAATGAATATTGTGGATAATTGTATAGGTTTGCCTGTGAAGTATGGAATTTTGACACCCATAATTTATTATAGCCGATGTAGGTTTGTACGGATTTTCGGCCGGACATTTACTCGTGCTGAACTAGAATCTCCACCCACCATGTTCTTCGAGCTAGCAATTTATAGAGGTCAAGCACATTTACCTAAAATGAGATTGTAATATTAAAAAAAAAACAAAGAATGACGTAACTTTATCTTTATTTTCGGTCGACTCGTATTCTTACTGGTGTCATCTTGTCTTAATTTATTTAAAGAGGGTTGCATATGCTCTCTGTTTTATTTACACTGGTAAAGCTAAATGTTCAATATTTTTCAGTTGGAATTTTTTTAAGCAATACGAATCTTGTTATTTCCCTCTACCTTTCCATGTAGCGTATATGGGAAGTTGTCCTCGTTTGAATTCAAATACGTGTCCTTATTGAATCAAGCAAGGTGGAAGATTAAGTTGGAAGGCGCATTTGAACTAGAGGCATTAAAAACTAAATCAGACTGACGTCATCTTGCATCTGTTCAATGATTAAAATCACTCGTATTCAAGGTTATTATTGACCTAAAGACGAAGAAAAAAATTAAATAAGGAATGAAGATACTGATGAATTGAATAATTTGCAAATGAAAGTCTGTTTGAATTTTTAGGGAAATGATGTTCATAATTAATCATTTGATGTAGATAATTTTAAAAAAGCTATTCATTGGATGAGAATTTTTTTCTCTTAGCTGATGTTTGTCTCCACTTCCGTTGACTGCTAGCCATTCTCATCGTGTTGCAATGGCTCTATTCTTCGTAAGTCTTCCTCATCAGGTTCATGCCGGGACTTGTTCTTTTTGTCGGTTTCGGCCGACATTTCCACTGAGAGATCGAAGACGATGGAACACCTTATCCATGGGTACGTCCAGAATTATTTGGAGCCATAAGCGGTAAAATCAAGCATGTATGCTTAGGGCGTCATATCTGTGCGTGTGGGGCTCGACCTAGAAAATGGAGGACAGCTTTGCCCAGGCACGCTAGAGGTCGTAGCAGCTTACGAAGCAAGATGTTTATGGTCATTGTGCGGTATGTCTACTGCCACCGCTCGAGTAGGACCTTCATTGTCATTTAGCATCCGGCCTTGCCTACTCACGTTTGCAACATTTCTCCGCCCAACAATAACCTGAGCGCACCTAACCTAAACCCATCGGCTGCAGGAAGTAGAGACGAGCCCAATGAGCCAGTTATCGGCTGCAAGAAGGTTGCGACGGGTCGCCTGCCGAAGACCACAACGCTCTGGATGTAATGGACCATCATGATTCCTGCCTTCCGGAACGTAGCCTTCAACACTTCAAGCCGTTCGTATCTAGGCCGTGGGTCGAACCAGCCCTCGGTCGAACGGCCACTAGTCGAAGGACGATAAATTTTGGAACAGAACTATGCTATCTGAAACCTTTATTTTTAATTTAACGATGCCCGGAAGTCAGATTCGATCCGCGGCCTGGAGGTGCACGGCAGGTGGTGGTCAAGGCCGGAGGAGGACAAAGCCGAGTGGTGCACGGCTGATTGGTCGATATCCGGAGAGATCCAAGGCGTTCGATTCAGGGCTTATTGGTGCACAAAATTTGTGGTGCACGGCTGCGCTCCCGGTCGCGACTCTGGGCACCGTAAAAAGAAGGCAAAAGAAGTAAAGACGGAGTTGGTGGAGCTGCATGCTGAACTGTCTTTTATGAGTGAGCATGCTCAAGTGTTGCTTTATGTTAGCTAAGCCTACGGCAGTATTATCTGGAAGCGCTATCACCGGTCAGGATTACGGTGTTCCAGCTGCCTAGCACTGTCTGCCGCTTCTAGGTAGCTGTGACATGTGAGGTTGTGTTGTAGTTATTGCATGCTGAGGCCAGACGTGAGCGCAGCCGTGCACCACCAATTTTGGGCACCAATAAGCCCTGAATCGAACGCCTTAGATCTCTCCGGATATCCATCCACCAATCAGCCGTGCACCACTCGGCTTTGTCCCCATCCGGCCTTGACCACCACCTGCCGTGCACCACCAGGCCGCGGATCGAATCTGACTTCTGGGCATCGTTAAATTACGTAATTTTACGTTCACCGCATCTGAGGTTAGGTTTCAGATAGCATAGTTCTGTTCCAAAATTTATCGTCCTTCGACAAGTGGCCGTTCGACCGACGGCTGGTTCGACCCACGGCCTAGATACGGACGGCTTGAAGTGTTGAAGGCTACGTTCCGGAAGGCAGGAATCATGATAGTCCATTACATCCAGGGCAGTGGTGGTCTTGGGAGCGCTGCCGTAGCCCAAAAATTTGACTCTTAAATCAGCCCAAAAGCCAATGCCAACCCTCTACATGCAATAGAAATAGTCAGTCTAATACCTATGCAGCTGTTCTTACTTGCCTCATCTCGCCACACCAGCTTGAAACAAGCAATGCATCATCCCACAAACTGATACTACAAACGGATTACGCCCAATAGCTCATACACCAATAATTTAAGCCCATACCATCACTTCTTACAAATGCCGTAAGCCACAGGGTCCGCAGACCGCACCGGACTGTCGCATCACCTTACCCACTTCGCAGGCGTAAGCCCAGCCCTAACGCTCACCAGCATCTTCTACCTCCACACTTACCCCATTCTCTCCACCTTTCCGCGATACCGCGAAGGGGTTAGGTTAGGTTAGGTTTGGTTAAATTTATTCCGCAAGCTGGTACCGAAAGGAGGGGGAGCAGGGGGTAAGCGTGGAGGTTTAGCCTCCAGAAGAACGGACAGGCTGGAGAGGTAGCAGTGTGGCGCAGGGCGTACCGAAAGGAGGGGGAGCAGGGGGTAAGCGTGGAGGTTTAGCCTCCAGAAGAACGGACAGGCTGGAGAGGTAGCAGTGTGGCGCAGGGCGTTCTTTATCGAAAGTGGGGAAGGGGCTAGGCTGCATGGAATAGAACTATTTTGGGGTTTAGCGTGTGGGTTACGACCATTGTTTTGGCGGCTTGCAGGTCATTGGCTCGCTGGTTTACATCCATGAAGGAATTTAGTCCCTATGGCTTTCAGCAAGTAATCATGTTGGCTAATTTGCTCTGCAGCATGCTTGCGCACGGGGTGAAGTATGAAAATTATGCTGGTATTGGGCAATGCTGAATTATTTCAGTCGTCCCGTGGTCTTCGGCAGGCGACCCAGGCCAGACTTTCGTGCCAGGGCTAATTCAAGAGTAAATTTGTGTTCCATGTCTGCGTCCCCAACTGACCCCTCCACAATGCTAACGACAGCAGCCCATCTCACTCGAACTGAAAGTCTATATTCTATTTACGTAGATAAGCTCACTTAGTATATATACTGTTACTACTGTATTATATATTAGTGTCGGCGCTGAAAAACAGACGCTTTGGCTTGTTGCCAATTCACTTTTATTCCATTATTGCACCTGATTCGTGTTAATTTACGTCACCTGAGATCGTTGATTACTTGTAAGTTATTAGGCGAACAGCTGTCAATAAAAGTATGAAACAAATACAGAAAGTTAACTCAAACAAATAACAGTCATTGCAGGGTCGTGGCAAGGTATTTCAACTTTTCAAGTGCTCTCATTCCGTGTCGACTTCACCTTCGTCTCGTCAACAACACTATTCAATATTATAGCATACAAATGACATTATATCAGTGCCTCATACATATGTATCACGACAACACAAACTCATTTTTCATGCTCATCTTCAACCAGTTGGAATCGAAACCTACTATGTTTACGTTGTGTGAGGTCACCTGACGTTGCGCCTGATAGTTGGATCAATGACTCGTGAGTACCCATTGACAAATTCCGGCTTAGGAAGGTCACCCGTTCCCGTTGCACTTGCAGACACAAACTCACCAAGAGGCTTCATACAATAGTATGTTACTGTTTTATTATCAATAACACTGCCACCAGTGCCTTGAAAATTAGTGCTGTTCTACCTTGAAATATAGGAAGTTAGTTGATAATACCTACCTAAATGGTGCTCAGAACGTTGTCTTTTTCCGAGATTTATGCTGAAGTTGAACTGTCAATGACATGAGTGAATGACGCATGACGGCATGAGTCACCAATACTCGCAAATCGCAATAGCAATCTGCAGGGGTTTATTACTGGCAATAGCAATCAATACCTAGTGACTTTTACTTTTAGTGAGTAGTGACTAAGCTGATTTTGCATTTAACTTATCATTCAACTGATTGAAGTTTCTGCAAATTCTGCTACACTGAATTTGCTGCTAATCAATGAAAATGCTGTAAAAATGAAAATGCCAATCAATAAAAATGCATCATTGTGAAAATTGTAGTATTGATTTTTCACTTTAACAGGATTTACCCCAACTGCCTAGAAAATACCTAGCCAAAACCCAAAATGACTGCCAATGGTAGAAGCGGTTACAGCTGCATGGATGATCTTAAATCACATCCACTACCTTCAGTGAGTTATTTTACAGAATAAGTTAGCTACTAAGTGGTGTAGCCTACAAAGAAAAGGTTAGAGCCTAGAGCCTAGAGGAAGAATAGTTGAACAGTCCCAATACTCATTTACATTATAATGTTGTCATTCAAATTTTCCTGTGTGTGTTTTGTATTGTTAAAGAATAATAAATGTTGTGTTTGATTTAGGCCTATATGATTAATTATTTGATTGATATGATTAATTATTTATCAAATAATTTATTTATATCATTAATTCTGTTCAGAAACTACTATAAAAGTGACAATTGTTTACTAAATTGGTTGTGAGATTTAATAATGTATCAGAAAAATTATATTTCCTGTTTATAATGCCAAGGCTTTTACAGATTCCTCGGAGTTTAAATGTTCGATCAGTCAAACGAGAAATGAAGACATTTGCAGAAGCTTCAGCATTGAGTTTCTATAAACCTGCTGCTCATGTTTGTTTCTGGGCTCCATGTTATAAAAATACAATGTTTGGAACTTACAATGCAGCTGTTATGGTAAGAAACTAATCATGGTAGCCATTCTGGCCACAGAGAGCATTTTTTTTGTTGCCCTTCCTTAAGCTCAAGTTCATTTTTGAGCCCTATAAGTAGACCAGTAAGTATCATGGATATTACCAGTCATATTATACTTGAGATATTGATTGAAATTTTAAGTAGAAATCTGGTTATAATGAATTATTGTTGTCATTATTACTGATCATGAAATAATTTTTTGAGATTTCAATATGTGTTGTGTTGTATGTGTTGAATATTTATATACCGTACATATAGAGGGAGAGCAGGTTGCTTCTACTTGAATTGTTCAATAAATTTGGAACAAGTGGGAAAAATTTTTTCATGTTATTAACAGCATAACCTAGCATTGATTGGGCTGAATAATGTGCAAGATTTGTGAATCTTGTTCAATGTTCATGTTTGCCTGAATAATTTTTTCCCCCTAATCCCATAAAATTTTTTTTTGCTTAGGTACTGGTTATTAATGAAAGACTAATTTGAACTTTTCAGCATAGAACTCTATGTTAATTCACATTCTAACATTTACAATAAATTTTATTACAATAAGAAACCTCCAATTGTGTAAATAAAATTTACAATTACCAAAGTAAATGTACCATTTCTCTTTTCAATCTGACTCCACCCTCCCTCCAATGATTTTAGCACAATTTCACTGCTGAAAAATTATATTCTTGGGTAATGCCCAATTGAGGACCACATCACTCCACATCAGTATTGCGGATCTATTTATTTCTGCAAATAAATGCACACAAACAAACTGTAGCAAGCATTAATATATTGTTGAAATATTCTGTAATATCAATATATTTGATTCTTGTTTATTCATAGTTTTTTTTCAGATGCATTTGAGATTTGATGGAACTTTTGGATTCCCTGGGGGGCTAATAAATCGTGGTGAGGACATTCTTGATGGCCTAACAAGAGAATTGAAGGAAGAGCTTGCTTATAATCCTGCAGTGCACAAGCCCATCACTTACGATGACTATCACAGCTCCAGGGTGAGAAGCAAACACCACTTTTGGCAATTGTTTAATTTATGGTTTACCCGAGATTTCTTAAGAATTCAATTTCAGACAGCTATGAAAAACAGGGCATCACATAGATTGGTTTCTTGGCAATTTCATCATATTTATGAGCCTCATGTTGCTAGCTTATGTATTTTACCTTGCATTAAACTTTCATTTCTTGGTGCAAAAACTCATTTTTTTAGCGCATTTTCCCATTTATGGAAAAAAATGCACTATTGTGTTTGCCATGTCCATCTGTCCGTCCATCTGTCTGTCTGTCCGTCTGTGACTTCATGTTTTTGTCGATGAGAAAATGCGCTCTCTGTCACTCACTGCAGTGAGTACTGAATTATATTTTTTTAAACATGATGAATAAATTCATGGCATACAATTTTGCTTCATTATCCCAGTTTAAGTTTTATTGTAATTTTATTTTTACTGTACATTGTTATTGATTCATACCATTTATTTACAGATCGTTGAGGATAAGTTGTTAGTATTGCATTTATTTGTTGTTGAACTGTCCATGGATCAGTTTGTGTCTCTTGAAAAGAACGCTACGTCTGCTGAAGAGTATGGCGTTGAGGTGAGTTGCATTACAAAGCATGCCATTCAGTGTTTGGTTTCTTAACACGTTGACTACGATTGCTTCATCTTGTGCTATTATTTCATTTTTAGTACCAGTTTAAAACATTTTTGCCAGACGGTCATTTTTTCCGGACAAATTTCGTGATTTAGTTTCCCTCAATTGTGTTGGCCGGCTAAAATTTATGATTGGGGGTACTTCCTAATTGAATTTTAAATACTGAAAAAAGAAAATAAATAGAATTCTTATAGCAAAAGCTAGAATTAAACTGGTATATATTGAGTTATCGGCCTTTTTTGGCCTTTTTTCTTCTCGGATTTGGCCAATTTTAGGCAACCTTAATTATGTATCACTACGTCCTGGAGAAATACATTTCGTGGTACGCATATGTACCACTTCGTAGTCGACGTCTTATAGGGTGCAGGAGATTTTAAACTTGTTATAATTAACTTGACCATGATTGAACTTTTCACTTGATTTGAATTAACTTGAAGTATTTGCTTGTGGATGGAATTTCACCTCAATTTATTAAAAATTCTCATTAATGTTGCTTTAATTGAAACCATACTTCTTCAACAAAAATTACATGTGCTCAATTTATTGCATAGGTAGGTATTTTCTAAGCATTAGAACAATGCTCCTGTTTCCTAATGGAAAGAATTAATATCATGTATTTTTTGTCCTTGCATGGATAGAAAATAAAATTTTAGGCTTCTTCAAAAAACGAATTTTTGCCATGGAAAAGCAATGAAAGTTAATATGAAAATAAACAAAAATATGAAATACCTGTATAAACATAAAATACAATATCAACAAAAATATTTGCTGTACTCTCTGTTAATGCACTTTTTCCGTGTATCATCTGGTATTGGGTTGCTATCAAAATGCTCTATATTATGAATCAGGTTTCTGTCGTCTTTTAATAATTTATCTATGGTTCATTCTGCATTATTAGTCCCTAATTCATGCCTGTATATATATATGTTACTTTTTGATCTCCCGACGCCAGCAAGAAATTTGGTTCGACTCATTGAAAAAACGAACAAGAAGATTGTTAATAAAAAGCATGCTCTGGTCTTCAATCAAACTTGCATATATGTTACTGTGCACAATTCAGAATAGGGCTGTAATAAGAATTTAATTGTATTTTATACATTTCTGTGGCTTACTCATGAATAAGAGCTGCATTACCTATCAGCTATAGTAGTCAAAAACCTGTACGTTTTCATCAGGTATTCGGGACAGTGCGCGTGCCGCTGTACACAATGAACAACAAGTATGGGGGACTGCCAGCGTTCCTGAACAACCGCTTCATTGGATGTGCTAAGCAGGAGCTCATCATGGCACTCTTCTCAATTGGAATCCTCACTGATGACCAAATTGATGAGCTCATTGACAACGCCAACAATATGAAGCTTGCGCCTAACAGAATGTAACCGTAAATGCTCGAACAAATACTGCATAACTGAAGCAGTCAGCATTAGTGCAAAACCAACCTTGCGCTCAACAGAATTTGAATTTTACACTTGAATAAATAATACATTACTTGAGTGAAAGCAGTGGTACAAAAAGACCTTGCATTCAAAAGAATGATACATACAGTTCATGCTCAGATATTCTGCTCAAACGAGATTTTCCTCCTACCAATGGTCTTTATTTAGGGTTTTATCTGGTGAAATTATCGGTGATGAGATATTGAAGTCAATGATTATTGTCTATAGTTTTATCTCTGACTAAGCAACAGTTTTTTACTTATGGGAAGCTAGGAGTTGCTTAATAAGGGCAAGGTGGCCCAGTTGTTACGGTTCAGAGTACCAGGATTGGAGCAGAGAAGCACGGGTTCGATCACAGCTCTGTGCGCCAGTTTCTGGTCAGAATCTGCAAGGAGGCCGGGCGGTTAAGCACAGCAGAATTGTAGCAGTGAGTTGCAAGCTCGAGACCGCAAAATGCTGTGAACGTTCTGCGATGTTAAGAATTGGCGACAGGCCTACGTCCTACTAAACGCTGAAACCGCTATTATTATATATTATTATTATAAGCGTAATGATAACACGTGTGCTGCATCATGCAACGTGGCACTTTTTAACGCAAGAGCCGTCAGAGGCTTCGTCTTAAATATTCAACAGCTGGTTGTGTCTCTGTGATATTGATTCCATTGTAATAAAGGTAATAATTTCAAAGTTTCTAGTCAGCAGTTTTTGGTTGCTCGACTTGAGCATGTCGCAAATTTCATGAAGTTTGATGCTGTTGATTTGAAGAATTTATTTATAACGTAATGATTTTTAACATTATATCTTACGTTGATCTCAATTTTATATCAAAATGAGGATTCTCATCAAGATTTTTTTCGAGGAGCTCTATGTTTTCCAAAGAATTTCTATTAAAAATACTCGATTATCACGACAAGTATGCACCGCACTGATTGATCATTAGCTTATGAATTTTACGAATTTAGCGAAAAATTTATTAATACCGCACAGTGCATCCATTGACTTGGTGGGCTTGCGAGATATACCTACCACAACCTATCCTTCTTTATCAGCATTTCTCTCCTTGTTCAATTTGGATCTCATCTGCAAGTTTCATGTTATCAATGTAGGTATGTATTATTTGGCGATTAATCAGCATATTTATTATTCTTTTCCATTATGAGTTCCATTCTCATTCATTTTTAAAGTGATATGCTGACTGCACGAATCAGGTCACTTAAATTGTATACAAGAGGAATAGTTTTATAATGAAATTGTGTATATAGTTCATACACTGTCTCGATGAACGACGAAGTTAGGACGTTAATTGCTTGTCAAATAGAAAACGATGTAGCGCTGCTTATTGTGCCTCATACTTTAGATAAGGCAGGAAAACAAACGCAGGGATTATATATAGGTAATAGTTTCGTGTGCAGCTGGAGACAGCATCTCGCTCTATTGTGCTGAGTTGATGCGATATATAATGACCTTTGTCGGAGGCGTGTATAAACAACACAAGAAAAGACGTCATTAGTCCTTTACAAGTCTTAAAGGACTAGTATTAGTCCTTTAGTCCTTTTTACGAGCTGAGGTGGATAATTTTTCTTTAGTGACAGGTTTATTTATTTGTCCTCAACGAATTATCTATTTGATATTTGGGGTTCCCCTCTTCAGTGTTCTCGTTCACTTATTTCCTCCCTTTTACTATTGGATATTTTGTTCCTCTAATAATTCATCTGTACAATTTATCAGCTCCAAAAACAACTACCTAGTCCTTTTCGTTGTTTCAGAAAATTCTCAATTATTTTCCGGTAATACATTTAATATTTAGCCACCTAATTCATTCAGCGGAACTTTTAATTAGTGTTTTCAGGTATCCATTATTTGTAAGTGCGGCGTATTACCAGATTTTATTGTGTGTCGGAGATACAACGAGGATTGAATTACTAATTTTTGTTCCGTATAACTTGCTATTCATCTTGCACTACGACACGTTCTGAATTTTTCTCAAAAGATTTTTTTCTAAAGCACGTTGCAGCTCACGTAGATTATAATCGACTACTTCATCTATTCACATCCCAAAAATAATACATTTGGCTCAATATGTCCAGATGTTAAAGTATTATTAGTTTATTTCTAGAAAATGTCACAAAGTTTATGTGCACTTGCGTCCAAATACATTCAGCCTAATTGCTCATATTATATTCCGTGTTTTTAAAGCTAAAACTGTGATCAGAAAGTTGATGTGTTGTAATCCTTACTGTAGTTCCTGTTTGAAAAAAAAAAACAACGAATTCTGATGATTCCGTAGCATTTAATTTTGTGTTTATAGCTGATGTTTGTTAATGCCGGGTTTGAGAAAGTTACTCTGATGTTTTTGTAAACAATGTTGCTGTTTATTGTTTTTATGCCAATAATTTATTTAAGAGCATTCTGGTACTCTGCGGCTGTTCATGATTACTTGGCTTGATAGTTAAATGTCAATTATAACATCAGTGTTTTTTTGTGACGTATTCGTTAAAAAAATGTGATTGTAGATGAAGATCAAGTCGGATCCCAGTCATGCTCTTGAATTTATGGCATTCAGTCATCTCTCAAATCTATGGTATCCAGTCATGCTCTTGAATTTATGGTATCCCGCCATGCTCTTAAATTTATGGTATTCAGCCATGCTCTTAAATTTATGGTATACAAATATCCTTATCCATATCCAAACCTCTATCCAAATATTCGTAAATAAATAATCTAATTACACAAGTCTCAAATGCAAAATTGAATAACGAGCGAATTTTTTGGGGTTTTTAAATTGTAGTTTATGCGTTTGAGACTCGGACGCAATGAAAATCGGCTCTTGTTCAACGTTCTGTAAAGTTTATAATTGTGTTTGCACTTCTGTTACTTGATTTTTTAACCTATAATTGATAGTGAAATGATGATTAATTAATAATATATCATTGTGATTCTTTATTTGATTTTGCTCACAGCGTGGCTTCTTGGCTCACGATCGTAAGTGCTGGGCGCCTGGGGCCGTATTATCAAAACTTCGTAAGTACTCAAAATCGACCTACGAGTGGCGTAAGTGCTGACTTTATGACGTAACTCTAGAGGTGGTATTATCAAAACATTTGCGCGGGAAGATACGTAACGTAACTGTACGCCTGCTCGGAGATGTCGTAAGTGAAGTTCCCCACAAGTTTAGAGTGTCTGCGGAAGCGATAGGAAACTATTGATTTACTAGCAAGTAGCAACACCTTGACTTGTGATAGAATTTTGTCAATAATCCGACAGCGCGGATTATAAACGCATAGAATGATGGCTCTACTTGTGATATCTCCACTACTTTATCGTGCAACATTTGCACGATCAAAATATGTGATCGTGCTAAACAGTGCTATTGAAAAAAAAATTCAATTGAGTTAATGCCAGAAACTGATTTTTGTTTACCTTTTACGTTATATTTTACAAGCAAATGCATATTACGTTATATTTTACAAGCGCAAAAGCAACTCTCAAGCTTTCGCGCCCAACTCTCATCATTCATTCCTTCTAGTCGGTACTTTATATCTCTGCCAACCATAATTTTTAGCTCCGGACACAGATTTCTTCTTCAACTCACGCTGTTTATTAAAAAGTGTTAACAACTATTTTAGAACGGCTTTATCTGAGCCAACAAGGAGTAATACCGACAGACAGCATTCGATAGTCGATAGCATTAGCATCGAAGGCATCGATTCCCGCCATCGAAGTTCACAGAATGTAAACAAATCCCAAGCCTCTGATTGGTCAGTTGGCCAGATGGTTTTGATAGTACGCTTTTAGCTAAGCCTTACGTACGAATGTTTTGATAATGCCAAAATTAGGGTTTACTTACGTAACACGTAACTTTTTTGTCGGAAGTACAAAAAGTAACGAAGTTTTGATAATGCGGCCCCTGGCTTCCAACAACGCCGGTTCTTAGGCCAAGTTCTGCTGACCTAATTATATGTCGAATGATTTACGGTCTTGGCACGCATCACCCGTTTCTTATCCTCTAAATGAAATTCGGAAGCTTGCAGGAACAAAAAAAAAAGTTGCGGTATTTATTTTTCCAATAATAGACCACTCGGGTTTTTTTCCCACGGAGCGGGTGGAGTGGAATGCTCTTCTAAACAATGGAAGCAGAGTTGCACAAAATTTTGTGTTTTGGTGTTATGATTTTGTGATTTTACACCTTGCTCTATGTTGCACTGCTGCGAGCTAAGTACAAAACGAAAATCGAATTGAAATGATTAATGTTGAATTTCATCTGATTATTTAGTGTGGTTGTGTATTAAAGATTAAACACTCGCCTAATGTGTCTTTGTTCCTCTGAATAACGCCAGCCACTGTTACGAAATATATTCGTAGCTGAACGTTGAGCAAATGTATGAAGATCAACAATCTGGTGTAATTTTTATATCTTTATGCATCGGCCGAACTTCGCGTCCATGTAGGGAATATGTCTTGCTCGACATTGTTTTTCGTTCAACCTTGCGATGCCTGCAATTTGAAACTATTTTACATTCAATTATCATATTTAAAGTCAATTTTATTTAAATCGAAACAAAGACTAGTTTCAGAATTTTTCAACTTAGCGATTTCATACAGTACGTTATATTTTGATACGTTTTACGCATCATATCTAGGTTAGAGCTTTGACAAATCTGCCGCAGCATTTTGCGAATTCAGAATAAGTTGCATAGACAAAACACATTTTCTTTTGTTCTTGCTCCTTTTTCAGGGGGTTTCCTATGTGAAGTTCCCGCCCGTAAATGTTCTTCAGCAGAACTGAGAACGGGTCTTATTTTCAGACAATCATTTATCGCGATGATTGCATGGCTACGCGAGACAACCAAGGCCTTCAGAATGAATAAGCTTCTCTTTCGAATTGATGTCCTTGTAATTTAGGAAGGCTTAACTTATAAACAGCAAGCATCATATAGTATTGCAAATAATACAACTTTATTATAAACTATACTTGTTATCGTGATGAGTGCGATGCGATGTTTGTAGAAAGAGTGTGCCCTCCGCCGCAAGACTTTATTTATTGCTTCTAATCTGTTACGCAAGAATGATGCCTAACTAACCAACTTTTCTTGCTATTGCGGGAGGTCAAAACAAGATAACAACCGAAAAACAATCTTAATTGGCCGGCGTAAGACTCAAGTTCGACGTTAAACTTACAAGACTGGCTAAAACGTCGCTACAGTTTTGAATACTTGAAACGGTTTAGATGCCGTTTTGACTGAGGCAATTTCTCGGGAAAAATTAATGAAAAAAATTCATGTTCAACATACATTGAATCTGATGTGGTGTATCGGGATTTTTTTTGACAAATATTGTTTT